CCAGGCTGGAGTGCAGTGGCGCAATCTCGGCTCACTGCAACCTCCACCTCCCAGGTTCAAGTGATTCTCCTGCTTCAGCCTCCTGAGTAGCTGGGACTACAGGCATGTGCCACCAGGCCCAGCTAATTTTTGTATTTTTGGTAGAGACAGAGTTTTGCCATGTTGGCCGGGCTGGTCTCAAACTCTGACCTCAGACGATCCATCACCTTGGCCTCCCAAAGTGCTGACAGTACAGGTGTGAGCAACTGTGCCCAGCCTAGATTGTCAATTTTCATTGTCCTTGTAAAATTCATAGCCATTATATGTTCAAATGTTTCTTTTTTCACTTTTCTCTCTCTGTATTTTCCTTTTGGGACTCTAAGTACCCACATGTTAGAACATTCATGTTGTTTCATAAATCTTGTAAGCTTGTTCTCCTTTTCTTTTTCAGTAACTCTTTTTCTCTCTTTGTGTGTTGGTTTGGATAAGTTCTAGTAACTATTTCCAAGTTTATGGATTATTTTGTCAGTTGTGTCTAGTCATCTCCTCAGCCCACTGAGAGAATTCTTCATCTCTGATGTTGTGACTTTTTTTTCTAGCATTTTCATGTTACTCTTTTCTATAGTTTCTATCTCTTTGCTGAAAATCTTTACCTATCCATGCATATTGTCCACCATTACGACAAGATCGTTTAACATATTAACGTAGGTATCACACAATCCCAATCTGATAGCTTCCAGATGGCATCTTCTGTAAGTCTGACTTCTCTGGATTGCTTTATTATTCAACAGTGGCTTTTTCCCCCCTTGGGTTTTTGGTGTGTCTTGTAATTCTTTAATCAAACACCAGACATTATAAATAGAAGAACAGTAGAGGTTACAGTAAATATTATTTATACTTTGAAACGGACACCCTTCTCTTGCAAATATATGTTGTGGATAATTGAGTCAATGTAGTCACTAGTTTAACTGAATTTGGGATTTGGGATTGCTAGCTTTACCTTAAGTGCAAAACAGATATAAATTCCTCCAGTGATGTGCTGCTTCTATCTTTTGCTTAGAGTGGGGCCTGGGGTGCTGAAGAGTTTTCTCCAGATTTCAGCAGTCACTGCATGCCTGCACTACAGAGGAGATATCTTCATACACATAATCTAACCCCACTGACACTGGGCTGTTTCTTGTTACTGAGTGCTCACTTTTTGGTGGACATAGGAGAATACTTATCTCCCTGGCCTACCTCCCTCTTAGACCAGTTGAGCACAGCTTGGTTTTGAAAGCAGTGATTTTTCAGTGTTCTTTTGCCTCCTTCTGATGAAACTTGTACCTGTGGTGGGTTTGGAAAGAAAGAGTAGTAGGCTTCTGTTTCATTGCAATGCAGGATGTTGGGCACAAGAGGATTCCCTATAACTTCTCCAAGGGAATAAGATATTTGGCTCCACCACTCTCTGAGAAGCTGTGGATCTTTGCCTGCAGTCCTAGATGCAGGGCCATCTCCTGCCCTATCACCCAGAAGCTTTGGTCTTTGGCTTTGTTTGGGGAAGGATCTAGAGAAATGTGCAAAGGTATCATGTCTGCCCCCGACTGACAGCCACTCACCATTCACAGTCTGCACTGCCTAATGCATCCTCCTCTCATCTGCCCTCGTGTTCTCATGAACACTCAGTAGAGATCCATAAAAAAGAGCTTGCACATAAGTGCAGTTTCCAATTTTAAGTACTCTATCTGTTCTTTCCCACCCAGGTTTTAAATGAAATATTACTAAGAACTTATTAATGTTCTAAAATGCTATAAATCTATTTTTTATGTTAATCTGTCTGCTAATACAGAAAAGAGAACAGTCATAATTCTCAGAGGCTACTGTACTGTTTTTGTCATAAATTGCTTCACGCTTCTTTTTTTCTCAGTAATTGTTAAGCTTGATTTCTTTTATTTTAATTTCAGCACCACCTGAGCTTACCCCTGTGGTCCAGGAGTGCTACCATGGTGATGGGCAGAGCTACCGAGGCACATCCTCCATCACTGTCACAGGAAAGAAGTGTCAGTCTTGGTCATCTATGACACCACACTGGCATCAGAGGACCCCAGAAAACTACCCAAATGCGTATGTCTTTGATTTTTACTGTAAGAGGGGCTTCAGCCAAATGAAATTTCTGTTAAAAGAGCCATGCTTCATGCTTCAAGCCAACTTCCTAGGACCAAATTTCTCTTAGAGCCAGAATGTGTAGAAAAATGTCTCAAGAACCTTGCTTTTGAAGAAAGGGCCTGAGAGAAGAGAAATTTTAGGCTGGCTATATTTCCTGAGTAGTTTTATGGAAGCAGGAGGATATCTGCAGGTGATGAGGTCACATTAATTGAAAACTCAGGAGTGCATATGAGCAAATGCTTAGAAACAGTACCATTCCACAATGCCCACTAAATATCAGTGCAATATTTCTACCATAGAAATCTATCATTTTAACCTCCAACCCCTGAAATGAAGGTTGAATTTGCTATTTTTGTCTTGGGTCACAAGTATGTATACTTTATATACTTTATATAAGTATGAATATATGTACACATATACATGTATACATATGTGTGCATATACACACATATATGTATATCATATACTTGTATATACTTGTATATGTATACTTGTATATACTTATGATATACTTGTATATCATATATGTGTGTATATATGTACACATATATGTGTGCATATTAGAATATATATAGCATAAAAATATATATATACACACACTGATCTGTATAAACACAGTGGGTCCTGAGCACCCAGTGGTCTGAAAGGATATGGGTTGCTGGGAGATGAAGAACAAAAGCAGGATACACAGATGCTGAAAAGCAAAAGAGGCTGTTAGATGAACAGAAAACCAGGTCTAACAAGGACAGCCTTTCTTCCATAAATGAGTATACAATATATCAAAAAAACTGTTTTTACATATTGGAGAACAGATAAACTGAGATAATTTAGAAAGGGAATCAAATGAAATCAACCCCATAATACCCTCAGCTTTGTTCCTGGAGACCCCTCCTGGGCTGAAGAACAAGGAGATGAAGCCCAAGCCGACCACCGCAGTCTTGCTGAACTGAGGAGGGAGACTGGAGTTTGGGATTACTAAAACAACTGAGATTTTCTAAGCTAAGTAATAACATGAAAGGATTTGTGGAGGAAAGGAGCTCCAGGAATGTCCATAGAAAAGTCCTCAAGTCTTTGGCTACATAGAAAGCTGCATATGCACAGGGAGAGGTTCCAGAGAGAAAGTAGGATAAAGAACAGCTGCTGGGGAAAGAAAAACCGCAGGGGAACAGTGAGTTCAATGGAGATGCCAGAGCTCACAGAGCACTGGGGATATCTGAGTTCTGACCAGTCAGAGGACAGACCTCGCTGAATATCTTGGGCATTCGGTAGTCACCACATAAAGCCATAGTTTGGAAGTAGGATTAGGTGTATTCCTATAATAAAGTCCACTCCAGAAAGAGTATAGTAAAGCTGAAAAGCAAGTCTAAAAAAATCAGCATGATCTCCAAGTAAGTTAATTGATTGCCAGAAGAAAATTCAACCCTCTTTAGAGGCAAACAACAAAATCAAGTTGCTCAGTTATGTGGCATCCACAATGTGTGACCTAAATTTATAACTTTACCAGACAGTGTGGTCCATAACCAGGAGAAAAAGCACTCAATACAAACAGACCCAGAAATGAAGACATTGGCAAGAAGATTTGAAATATACATATCATAATTGTGTTCAAGGATTTAAAGAAAACATGAACATGCAAGAAACAAATGGATAATATCAACAGAGGAAAATTATAAAATAGCCAAAAGGAAATTGAATAACTAAAAAATGTACATGTTTAGTGAAAAATTTACTGGATAGACTTACCATCAGGTTAGACATTACAGAAGAAAAAGTTAACTAGAAAATAATTCAATAGAAGTGATACAAACTGCAGTACACACATACAAAGATTGAAAAAATAAAGAAACAGAGCTTCAAGAGTACCTGTGAAAATATCAAAAATATCAAAAGATTTCATATATGTGTAAAGCAAGTCACAAGAGAGAAAAGAGATATTAGGACAGAAAAAACACTTGAAGCAACAAGAAAAATCTTATTAGAAGCCAGAAAAAGAACACATATGTTTACACAGAAGAATAGTGGTAAAAATGACTGATGCCTTCTCGTCAGAAACTATGCTGGTCAGAAGCAATCAGATAACAACTTTAAAGTGATAGAAAAAAAAATAAAAAGGATTAACATAGAATGTTATATTCAGCAAAAATATCCCTTGAAAATGAATGTTATATAAATACATATTCTGCCTCCCCCCAGCAAAAAAAAAAAAAAAAACACTAAGAGAATATTTCATTACTAGGCTTATATAATAAAAGATGTTCTAGCAATCTATTTTGGTAGAAGAAAAGTAGTGCCTGATGGGAACTTTATACTAAGCAATGAAGAACCCTGGAAATGGCAAATGTAAAATATTTATATTTAATCCCTTAATTTATTTAAAAGATAATTGATGGGAGGCCGATTTGGGCAGATCATGAGGTCAGGAGTTCAAGACCAGCCTGACCAACATGGTAAAACCCCATCTCTACTAAAAATAAAAAATTAGCTGGGCATGGTGGTGCATGCCTGTAATCCCAGCTACTCAGGAGGCTGAGGCAGAAGAATCGCTTGAACCCAGGAGGCAGATGTTGCAGTGAGCTGAGATCGTGCCATTGCACTCCAGCCTGGGCGACAGAGCGAGACTCAAAACAAACAAACAAACAAAAAGATAATAATAGACTACTTAAAGTAAAATGATAGCAATGTATTGCTATTTTAACGTATGTAAAAGTAAAAAAATTTTAAATAGTCACATAAATAATGTAGGAGATAAATGGAAGTCTACTGTTCTAAGTTTATTACATTATCCATGAAGTTATATAATATAAACAAATGGTAGAAGGTGGTAAGTTAAAAAGGGTTATTGTAAATCCTAGAGCAACTAAAAAAATTTAAACTTAGAGGAATAGATAATAATAAGAATATTCCATTTATCCAAAAGGACAGAAAGAAAGAAAAAAGAATGAAGAAGATATGGCAAAGAGAGAAAATACATAGCATTATGGTAGACTTAAACTGAACTGAAAGTATATTTAATATACTCCTAACTATATGAAATATAAAGGCATTAAACATTGCACATAAAAGGCAGAGATTGTTAAGCGGAATAAAATTCAAAGCCCAATTATGTTCTTTTTACCATACATGCTCTTTAATTGTAAAGAGCTAGCTCAAAAAACAGTGTGGAAAATGATGTATCATGAAAATAAGAATCAGAAGAAAGCTGGAGTGGAATGTTAATCCCAAAGTAATCTACAAGAAATAATACCAAGATGAAAAAGTTATTTCTTAAGTAAAAAAAGGTTTATTCCTTAAGACTTATGGGTTGTACTGTCATAGGAACCCTTCTGATATATGAAGCAAAAACTGGCAGCACTAAAGAGATGAACAGATAAGCCCACAATTAGAGTTGGAGATATCCTAATGTCTCTCTCCGTATGATTATACATCTTCTCAAACAAAATATAATAGAAAAAATACACAAAAAATCAGAAAGAATATATATGTTTTAAAGGAAATTGTCAACCTATTTAACACTACGCCAAACTGCAGAATACACGTTCAAGTATGCATGGAGGATTCACCAACATATACCATATGTGTGGCCTTATAGCAAGTCTCAATAGTTTTAAAAGAATTAAAATGATAGAGTCTGTTTTCTGAGCAAAACAGAATTACATGAGATATAAATAACAAAAAAAATGGGAAATTATCAAATATTTGAAAATGAAACCACACATTTCCAAATACTTCATAATTCAAAGAAGAAATCACCAAGGAATTTAGAAAAGTTTTGAACTGAATAATAGTAGAAATACAATATATCAAACCTTGCATGATGCAGCAAATGTTTTTAGGGTTTTATAACTTTAAATGCTTTGAGTAGAAAATAGGAACATGTAAAAATCAATGACTTAAGGTAGCATTTCTCAAAGTATGGTCTGGAGAAACCTGCAGAAGTCTCTTGAGATCCCTTCAGAAACAGTCTATGAGGTTAAAACACTTTAAAATTTAAAGAAAAAAAGATTTTATTTACCATTTCACTTTCATTTCCTGATAAGTGTACAGTAGAGTTTCCCAGAGGCTACATAATGTTTGATCACATTATCTCTCTGATGGCTAATAAAATGTGTGATTGTCTATTATGTTTAAAAGCATTTTTAGTTTCGGATGCAATAAATGTTCATAGTATATATTACGAAATGAAAGCTCTTTAGAATTCCCAATACTTTTTAAGAGTTAAAGGGGTCCTAAGACCAAAATTTTGAGAACTGTTGATTTAAGAAAATTAAAAAATCTAGAAAAGCAGAAGCAAGTGAGATCCAAGGTAAGTGGAAGAAGAGAAAGAATGAAAATCAGTGAAATCCAGTGTATACGAATATAGACAAACAATTGAGTAAATCCGTGAAACAGAAAGTTGGTTCTTTTCAAAGGTCCATGTGATTGATAAAACTCTGCCTAAACTGATGACAAACAAAGGAGGGAGCACCACCATCAACATCAGGAGTGAAAAAGGGGAAGAGTCATTGCTATAGGATCCTTTACATATTAAAGCTAATAAACAAATATCGAGAGCAACTTTATGTTGACAAATTCAATAACCTAGATAATATGGACTAATTCTTAGAAAAACAAATAAGCAAATTGGACACTGAATAAACTGAATTTCTAACCAACCTGATATCTATTAAAGGCAACATGTGTATATAATCTTTAACAGGTTAATATATATTAATAAATCAATAAACTTCCCACAGAAAACACTCTAAGCCCAGATGGCATCATTAGAAATTTTATTATTTAAAAAAATCCAATTCTTCACAATCTCTTACAGAAAATAGAGGAGAAGGGAACACTTCTCAACTCAATTTGTGAGAAAAAAAAACTAGTTGTAAAAAAGTAGACAAGGATATTGTGAGAAACTATAGCACATTATGTGTTGTGAACATAAACATAAAAAGATGTAACAAAATTTTAATCATTAACATGATGAACATCCCAAACAAGTGACGCTTCTCTTCAAGAATCCAAGGCTGGCTTAACATGTACAAAACAATCCATGTAATCCAACACGTTAACAGAATAAAAGTGATAAATCATATGATTATGTCAATAGATGCAGAAGAAAAATGTGGCAAAATTTAACACTCATCCATGATAAAATGTCTCAACAAACTATGAATAGACTGGAACTTCTTTAACTTGATCAAGGGCATCTACAAAAGACCTCTAGATAACATCAACTTAATGGCAAAAGATGAATGTTTTCTCTCTAAGATTGGGAATAAGAAAAATATGTTTGCTCTCGATACTTCTAATCAGCATTTTACTACATTGGTCACAACCATTGCCGTAAGACCTGAAAACAAAACAAAAAGAGAGAAAAAAAGGAAGGAAAGAAAGGGCCTAAAGTTTGGAAAGGAAGAAGTAAAACAGCCTATATTCACGGAAAGCTTAATTAATGAATGCAGAGAGTCCTGAAGACTAATAATTAAATTTTGCAAGATTGGAGAACACATAAGTATATACATGGTCAATATATTAAAAGTAGTTGTATTTTTATACATTGCCAATAATCAACTGGAAAATAAAAATGACAGAGCAATATCACTGACAATAGTATCAAAACCACAAAATATTTAGTGATACATTTAACATAATATGCACAAGAACTATATACTGCATACTAAAAAATATTGTTAAGGAAGAAATCAAAAGATCTAAATAAAGATATATCATGCTTATATATTAAAAGAGTCAATATCACTTCTCACCAAATTCATCTTTGAATTCAGCCCATTCCCAATTGTTAAGGAAGAAATTAAAAGATCTAAATAAAGATATATCATGCTTATATGTTAAGAGAGTCAATATCACTTCTCACCAAATTGATCTTTGGATTCAGCCCATACCCAGGAAGATTCTCAGCAGTCTTTTTTTTTTTTTTTAATGTGACAACGTATATGCTAGAATCACCAGGACAATATTTAAAGAGAAGAAAAAAGTTGGAGGACTTACTTACCCAAAGGTAAAGACTTATAAAGGCACAGTAAACAAGATATGTGGTACTGGAAAAAAAAAGTATACAGATATAGAAATGGATGGTCCAACAACAGATCCACATATACATGATAAATTTAGTTTCTGTGTAGGTGACAAGGCAATTCAATAGGGAAAAACATCTTTTCCAAAATCATTGTGAAACAACTGGATATCCATCTAGAAAACAAAAATAAAAACAAATTTTGACTTCTACTTTCCACCCCAAATTAATGTGCAAAAGCTGCTAGATCTAAATGTAAGAGCTAAAACTTAAGCTGAAATAAAACAATTCCAGGAAAATATATAATATTTTCACAAACTTGAGGCAGGCAAAATTTTTTTCAGGCAGGACCCGGAAAACACTAGAGCTAAAAGAAAATAAATTGTAATTTGGGCTTTCATAAAATGAAAATTATGTTCATTAAAAGTCATTGTTAAAAAATTAATAGGTAAGTAGCAGACTGGAAGAAAATCCTCTCCATCCATATATCTGACAAATGATTTGTACCTAGAGTATAAACGTTTCTCCCACTCAGAGGACAAACAACCTAATTAAAATGGGCAACAGAATTGAATAGGAAATTTCCCTGGGGATGATGGACAGATGGACAATAAGCATCCGAAAAAATGCTCAACATCTTAGCCATCAAAGAAATAAGAATTATAACCATCACGAGATGTCACCAACACTTAATGCGCATGGGTATCATTAAGAAGACACAACAATAAGTGCTGTCACTGATGTGGAGTGAGAATGAGCAGCTCTCTCACATGCTGGTTAAAGTACAAAATGGTACAACCACTTTGGAAATCAGTCTGCTGGTTTTTTGTAAAGTTAAATAAATATGAGTCTACCCCACAAAACTGCAATTCTATTCCTGAATATTTACCCCATGGAAATGAAAACAGAAGTCCACAAAGAGATCTACAAGAATATTCACAGCAGCTCTAGTTCTTATAACCCCACACTGTAAACAACTACAATGTCAATCAATGAGAAAATGAATCAATAATTTGTGATCTATTCATATAATGGAATATTATTAAGCAATTAAAATGAAGAAGTGACTGACCCTCTCAAATAGGATGGATGGAACTCAAAAATATTGTATTAAGGAAAGAAGGCAGATACAAAATTGTATATTCTGTGTCAGTCCATTTATATCAGGTTTGAGGAGAGGCAAAACGAATTTTTGGTGAAAGAAACCAATAGTATTTCCCTCTGGCAGTTGAAAGAGGGTAGCAGGAATTGAATGAGCCTTGACATAGGGTGTTTCTAGAGTACTGGAAGTGTTCTGTATCATATGGGAGTGTGGGTTACACAAGTATAGGTGATCATCAAAACTCACCAAACGACATTTAAGATCCGTGCATTTCCACATATGTTTATTGTGGCACTATTCACAATAGCAAAGACTTGGAATCAACCCAAATGTCCATCAATGACAGACTGAATTAAGAAGATATGGCACATATACACCACGGAATACTATGCAGCCGTAAAAAAGGATGAGTTCATGTCCTTTGTAGGGACATGGATGCAGCTGGAAACCATCATTCTCAGCAAACTATCACAAGAACAGAAAGCCAAACACCACATGTTCTCACTCATAGGTGGAAATTGAACAATGAGAACACTCGGACAAAGGAAGGGGAACATCACACACCGGGGCCTGTTGTGGAGTGGGGGGAGGGGAGAGGGATAGCATTAGGAGATATACCTAATGTAAATAACGAGTTAATGGGTGCAGCACACCAACATGGCACATATATACATATGTAACAAACCTGCACTTTGTGCACATGTACCCTAGAACATAAAGTATAATAATAATAATAATAATAATCTGTGCATTTCACACTATGTAAAAGTATACTTCAATTGAAAAGAGTGGAAATCTGTTTCAAGTGCTCAGCCTTTTAACACATTCAGTTGCTTGGACTACGAGCTTCCTCAAATGGGGTGTCTGGGCTTGAGACTAGATCACATGTGCAGAGTCTCTAGAGAGACAATGTTACATTCCCATGGTACATAATACATTTCCCGTTTTCTCAGACAGTCACAGGTCATGAATGTGAGGATACTGAGAGGCTGGAGCAACATTCTTGGGAGGCATGAAGGGGAGCACATCCTCCAAGATCCTCCCAGCCCGGGGTCCTCGCCTGCTTTGCCTCTTACTCCCTTGTTTTCGGACTCCTCCGTAGCTGCCCAACCTCTTCAGATCCCATAGTCTACCCAGCAGTCTCCCTTTATGTCTTGAGTCCCACTGTTCTGTCAACTCATCACCCATTCCCTCAGACCTGGAGTGACTGTGGCCAGCAGAGGATGGACTGAGAGCAGGAGAGGATGTCCTGCCCAGGAACCCACCCTAAAGAAATGGCATCCTGCCTGGGAGCTAGTTTCCCAGGGCGGCTTTGATAAGTCTTGCAGAAACAAACCCACTTGACACACCTGACACGGTATTGACAGTAACACTATTTTCATGGTTGTTTTTCATAGTAAAAGTAGAGCCCTTTAGTTACACTAAGAGTACTTAGAGTAAGGTGACTGGCCCGGGAGTGGTACCATCTTGGATGTCATTTCCTCCTTGGAGAAATATATTTTAGTTCCAATGCACATGTCACAATATAGTCCTACAGAGAGAAATACAGAGAGCTAAACAGTTAGAGATACATTTTTATGTGCATAAAAATATAAAATATACACTTTAAAATCTGTACCTGTTATTCCTGAGAAATGTATTTGGCAGAAGGTGGGAGGAGGATATTCTGATCCTGTTATTTACAGATTTACGTATGATCTGAGTTTTTAATATAGAGCATATCCTACTTTTGATTTTTTAAATAAAAATTAAAATCTGCCTTTGAAATGTACACAGTTGTTCAGAAGTTGAGGACCATTTGTGCTTGGTACAACATTATTGCACCTATTTCAGAGCCACTTGTTAACACTTTGTTAGAACAAAACGTAGAGGGTCCTGGGTGCCCCTGAATATTCTCCCACCTCTTGTGACCTCTATTGTTTTGGAATTTCCAGTGGCCTGACAATGAACTACTGCAGGAATCCAGATGCCGATAAAGGTCCCTGGTGTTTTACCACGGACCCCAGCGTCAGGTGGGAGTACTGCAACCTGAAAAAATGCTCAGGAACAGAAGGGAGTGTTGCAGCACCTCCGCCTGTTGCCCAACTTCCAGATGCAGAGACTCCTTCCGAGGAAGGTAAGAAATCTGTGGCTAGACATCTACACACTTGGACGCTGGGATGAAAAACCATGGAAAATCCCACTGATGCAGAAGCCTTCCATGCTACATGGGAAATCAAATGTTTTTAGAGGGTCTGGCCATGTGGAAGGAAGCCTCAGTGCACTCTCTCGAGGAGGCAGAGGTGTGACTTTTGGCACAACGTGAGTGGGCTGTGCCTTTAGGACAGGTGCAAACCCTCCAGGGTGCTCAACTTAACCACTCACCTTGTTCTAAAATGGGTTATCTCAGTGTCCCAGTCCAAATTCCTATTCTATTATGCTGCCATATGTGTGATTCTTTCCAAGCCAATAAGCATCTCCAGTAATTTCTTAAGGTGGGCAGTGTTCATTGCAGTCTTCAGCACTGCAGTTTCTGAGGAATGTGGCCCCGGATTCTGTCATCCTAGAGAAATCTGACATGACTGTATTGATTCCATATCATCCTGGGTCTATGCGGCTGTTCATAAGCATCCATTTTTTCCCCCTGTACAGACTGTATGTTTGGGAATGGGAAAAGATACCGAGGCAAGAAGGCAACCACTGTTACTGGGACACCATGCCAGGAATGGGCTGCCCAGGAGCCCCACAGCCACCTCATTTTCACTCCAGAGACATATCCACGGGCAGGTCTGGAAAAAAACGTAAGCCACTTTCACTTGGACTCTTTTGCCTCTTGCTCACCAATCTTTGCAAACAGAATTGGTTCTGCATTACAGAAAATCTGCCTGGACTGCTCTTTTTTGTAAGCTGGGAGAGGGGGCAGAAGAAAATATTGGAAAGGCATCGGGGGCTAAGATAGAATATAATAGGCCTTAGTATGGAAAGTACAAGCAGCACAGGCCAGGAAACCTCCACGCATGTGAGGGTTCTCAGGCCTCTTCCCTTTAGTGACATTTCTTTAAAGTTTCCATTATTGGGCACTGTTTCTAGTTTCTAGTGTTTGTATGCTAGGCTCCGGTAATCAAAGTTGCCCTTTATGAAGTTTAAGTCAGATTTTTCTAGAAAAGATTTGGATGGGCCATCAGGTCACCATGGGACTTCCCTTAGCCTCGTGCATTCCCTGCGATGGTTTACTTTGGGGCCTGTGTAGAGGGAAGACTGAGATATAAGGAAAACCAAAGTGTCTGTGTTCCCCCACTGTCACACCCATGCAACATAACACTTCTCACACCAGATGGGTGTGATTTCTCCTCACGCCCCAAACAAGTCTCCAGCAGATACCAGCTGGGTGTCCTACAATGTAACTCAGTCCTGACACTGTATCTGGAGACAGTGTCAGATCCCGTAAGTTAAGGCTCAGTCCCACAGGACTGCCCCACTGCAGATGCCAGTCCCAAGTTCCAGGCTGTGACCTGTACTTCTGCCCAACTGGATAAAAATCTGTTTTTCTACATGACCCTCCTTGGGTTTGATTACTTTGCTGGAGTGGCTCAGAGAACTCAGGGGAACATGTTACTTTTTTTTACCCATTTATTATAAAAGATATTACAAAGGATCCCAGTGAACAGCCGGACAGAAGAGATGCACGGGGCAAGGCATGTGAGAAGGGGCTCAGAGCTTCCATGCCCTCTTCAGTGCACAAGCCCCTGGTACTCCAAGTGTTCAGCAACCCAGAAGCTCTCCAAGTGCAGTCTTGCTGGGATTTTATGGAGGCTTCATTACAGAGGCACAGTTGAATACATCATTGGCCATTGGAGACCAGCTCACCTTCAGCTCCTCTTCCCTCCCTGGAGGATGGACGTAGGGGGCTGAACAGTTCCAACCCTCCGATCACATGGTTGGTTCCCTTGGCAACCAGCCCCATCCTAAGGCTATCCAGGAACCCACCAAGAGTTGCTTCATTTGAACAAAAGATGTTCCCTTCACTCAGGAACTCCCAAGGGATTTAGGAGCTCTGTGTCAGGAACTGGGAGGGCAGAGACCAAATACACATTTCTTATTCTATCACAGTATCATATGAAGGGAAGGACAACACTGCCTTTCTGTGTCTTGCCCCATAGAGGGTGCACAATGCATGGAAATAAATGTTTCTGAATCAACAGCAAACAGGCTTCATCAGGCAGGAGAGCACAGTGCCCTCCAGGGACAATGCACATCAATGATGTCCCACTGTCCTTCGGCTCTAAGACCTCCACTGGGTCAGGCTCCTGAAGGGGAGACCCAGCCCCCAAAGACCCCTCAGGGTCACCACTCCCTGTCCAGGGGTGTGGCCTCATGACTCCTTTTGAACAGGGGCACAGGACGGACGGCTTTAGAGCATTCAAAAAATAACTTTGCCAAAAAAATACAATAACAATAATAATAATAATAGGAAGGAAGAAGAGGCCAGACGTGGTGGTTCACACCTGTAATCCCTACACTTTGGGAGGCTGAGGCAAGTGTAACACCTGAGGTCAGGAGTTCGAGACTAGCCTGGCCAAAATGATGAAACCTCGTCTCTACTAAATATACACACACACACAAAAATTAGCCAGCCATGGTGGTGCGCACTTGCAGTTACAGCTACTCAGGAGGCTGAAGCAGAAGAATCGCTTGAACCCAGGAGGTGGAGGTTGCAGTGAGCTGAGATTGTGCCACTGAGCACTCCAGCCTGGATGACAAGAGCGAGACTCCATCTCAAAAAAAAAAAGAAAAGAAAAGAAAAAGAAAAAAGGAAGGAAGGGAAAAGAAACACTCCCTTATGTCTTCTAAGGATAGACATGAAATGTACGAGCCTCAGAACACCTTCTCCCTCTCCTGCCCCATGTGAGCTGGAGCTTACATGCCTTCTTGTTTTCAGTACTGCCGTAACCCTGATGGTGATGCAGGTGGTCCCTGGTGCTACACGACAAATCCAAGAAAACTTTACGACTACTGTGATGTCCCTCAGTGTGGTAGGTTGCCTTCTTTTTGGTAAGGAAACTGCTTCCTTAACATGGATTTGCAACAAAAAAGGAAAAGGGCTTCTGAGCGGAGTGGTTCTCGGGAGGAGATGGCTGCCCTCTCTACCAGACCCCACTCTTCAGCACGGGTATCTTGAACCTGCCCTACTACTGCCCACGTTTGTTAGTGGAACACCTGCCCATCACCCCAGACACACATAAATAAAATAAATGTAAAATTCCCAAAGAGCAAGCTTAGAGGTAATTAGTCAGCCTCAGGATGGTCCCACTGAGTGCTGCCATGTCTAGCGTGGGATGCATGAAACATTTAGAGTCATTCGGATGAAAAAGTTTCCCCTTCCGGCCGGGCGCGGTGGCTCACGCCTGTAATCCCAGCACTTTGGGAGGCCGAGGTGGGCGGATCATGAGGTCAGGAGATCAAGACCATCCTGGCTAACACAGTGAAACCCCGTCTCTACCAAAAATACAAAAAATTAGCCAGGTGTAGTGGCGGGTGCCTGTAGTTCCAGCTACTCGGGAGGCTGAGGCAGGAGAATGGCCTGAACTCAGGAGGCAGAGCTTGCAGTGAGCCGAGATCGCACCAGTGCACTCCAGCCTGGGCCACAGAGTGAGATTCTGTCTCAAAAAAAAAAAAAAAAAAAAGTACCCCTTCCACGGAGAAGTAAGAAAGAAAATACAAACAGCAGGAAACAGGTAAGCATGTAATGCGCATTGTAAACCTCAGATGGCCATCCTAGGAATTAGTGAAAGGTAGTGCAGCTCTTTAGCCCCAGATGGCCTTTCTCATAAGTTTACTACTCACAGGTCACATTAGTGACATAGCTTACAGACTGCTTGTTAGGCTCCTTCCTCACTGTTCTGAGACTTTTGTTGGGAGTATGAGGCTTGGATCAGGGGAAAGGGAGTTGACATTAGTTCTTAAACAATTAGAATAACAAATCCATGGGTATTTCTGAAAAAAAAAAAAAAAAAAAGGAAGCTACTTGGAATTGTCCCATATTTAACATTCTGCTGACCAATTTGTCCTAGTTACAGAAAGCCACCCTGGACTTCTCCTATGCATAACTCGGTTGCTTGTGGTTGGGTCTGCCATGTGGAGGGACCTTGAGCTGGGGGAAGGAGCTTGGCCTCCAACTCCACTGAAGACCAGCATCCCAAGATTGCCTGGGGAGGTGGTACAGGGCAGTGATGAAGACCATGAGAGCCACACTGCCCATCATCACATTTGGGCCACTCCTAGGAAGAGCAAGAGGGAGGAAGGAGGGGTTAGGATGATAGGAAAGACTCTACTTGGCCAGTATTATTGTAATGTGGCATAGTGTTCTCTGGATTTAGTGTGAGTTAATAGCTGACTTTTTCCTCGAGTGGGTGCTTTTGTCTGTTCTGCAGAAGCATCTTGGTGGCACCTCTATCTCAAAGTCCCTCCATGTGGTCAGTTCCAGTTCTCCACTTCTGGCCCCATCTGGTACATGCCACTGCCTCTCACTGCCCGGGCTCTCTATCCTTGACAGGCTGCCTTGAAGTTGAGCCCAGACTGACTTTCTTGCCTCAGACCCCACTACCGTGCCTGGGACTCATGTACCTTTGACTCCCATGGAAGGGAAGTGCTGTAGCTTCCCCGGTGCAATTCTGGTGTCCTCACCCACACTGAGGATGTACAAGAATCAGGTTCTTAGAGACTGGAGAAAGAAGGAAGAATGGGAACAATAAAGGACGAGTTGATGGGTGCTGACAAGTTGATGGGTGCAGCACACCAACATGGCACAAGTATACATATGTAACAAACCTGCACGTTATGCACATGTACCCTAGAACTTAAAGTATAATAATAATTTTAAAAAAAAAAGAATGGGAACAAGATTTTTCCCAAAGGACTGTGAGGTCCCCCACCTTACCTTGATGTGAGACAAGTGAGGTTAACCCCAAGCCTGGTGAGAAGGGTTCCCACCAGACACTTGGAAATCCTGAGGACTGTTTCACACAGAAGGATGTGGTTTATTCAGACATGACTCATACTTGAGAAAGCTAGAACCTCCGGTGGTGAATGATTTTAATAACTATTTCCTTTCCACCAACATATACAGTACAAATAATAAATAAGTAAAAATAAATAGAAACGTTCAGTTTTGTTTTGAATAGTAGGAGCAGGGTACCATTATTTCTGTAGTTACTCTTTTAGTACAATGATGCATGTCTACTGTATGTAAGGCATACTAGCAGAAATTGAGCTCAGCACTAGAGAAGACGATTGCATTCTACGCCTTGTTTCTTTTTTTAAAAAGTCTTCCACAGACAGATTCTCAGAACAGCCCATGGCAAATGTAGTTATTTGGAAAATCCAGGTTCCAGATTCACTAGAGCATAGAATCTCTGGTTGGTTGGGAAGGAATTTCCTCTTACAGTTGTTATTAATAATTTATGAATAATTATTAATAATATTAACATTTATATTTCTGAAGACCTTGAAGGGCTGGAGACAACAGAGAAGCATTTTTGAACACCCTCTGTAGCCCCTGCACTGTTGTAGGCATTGGTGGGTGATACCAAAGATGGGACACTGTCCCTACCTCCAGAGACCTTGTGGGCTGGCTGCAGAGAGAAGGCAGGGAAGAGGAAAAGAAGAATAAAGGCACATGTGTTTAAGTCACCCCCACGGCCGTCAGTTAGTCATGGGAGGCTCCCCAGAGGAGCTGTCCTGAAGCTGGCTGAGAGAAGGCAACATTTCAACTTAGGACAGTAATCCTTGCTACATATAATCACATACACACATGCACACACATGCACACACAGAGACTCACATGGAAAAAGAAAACTTTCTGCCTTTCAGCAGTGATGACAATTATGGTTTTTAGTAAACTTTACATGGTTTAGATGGTGATGGTGATGATGATGATTATGGGAAGGATGACATCGTGTTCTAAACATACTGCATGGAGTCAGAATAACAATGACAAATAACCATTTGTCCCAATCAAGGTCTTCTCAGAAAAGATCTCATTCTGATGCTAAACTATACCAATTTGTTTGATCACTTCTCCAACAAAGTAATTATAAAGTGCTTTTATTTTCTTGAAAAGACAGGGTCCTGTGTTGTCTACTACCACTTTTGAAACTTAGAGAAAATATTCCAAAAGATGCTTATGATTTTACTATTTAGTTTGGCCTTTGAGATGTCAAAAACTCAGGGCTTGGAATTTGTCTCGATTTACACCACAAAATTGCTACCTTGTCTCAAATGGGATTTCTTTCCCACCTTGTGCCACAGCATCCTCTTCATTTGATTGTGGGAAGCCTCAAGTGGAGCCGAAGAAATGTTCTGGAAGGATTGTAGGGGGGTGTGTGGCCTACGCACATTCCTGGCCCTGGCAAATCAGTCTTAGAACAAGGTAAGAACAGGCCCAGAAATGATTTATACTGTCCCTCCATGTAAGCCCTACAAAACCCTTCTACATTTACACAAAACCCACACAGCTAAGGCATCAGTACCTGCCTCTAAGTTTTCTGAAGGGGGAAAAAAGCTACAAAAATTGAAATATATATATATATTTATATATATTATATATATATTATATATAAATTAAATATAAATATATATATTAAAATACATATATTTTTATAGGTTCTCTACTGTGAAAATGGCCAAAATTGCTGTCTTTTTCTTGATCTGGGCAGCTCCATCAAAATCTGTAGGCACAGTGATTTACACCAAGTTCCAATATTGCTGGAAAATATTGAAGATGCTTCGAGGATTTCTATGGATATCCACTGTCTCATTGTCAGATGAAAAGAGAGGGAAGTTTTTAGAAATGTGACACTTTCTGGGTTGGGAGAGCAAGGACAAAATTATCTACAGTCTATCACAGGCACAGATTTTTTTTCTCTGGACACTTTTGTGAATCATTGAATTCAATTCAGAGGCTACTCATCCATTCACAAACATAAAAAAATTCTAGATCATGATCCCCATAAATTAAGAGTGATCAGTCCAATCCCAGGGAACCGGGACATTTTGGGTATTGTTTCAGTGGAACATGCCTTTCATAAGTTCTGTTTTTTTGGGTATCTCTTAGGAAGCATGCGTAGGAAACAGGCCCATCTGCCTGCCTGTTTTGCTTCCTCATCTCATTTCTACACCAGGACACCTGTGCTCAATTGCTGTTCTCCCGTAAAGAGACTCCTTTCCATAAGTTTGTGAAATGCCATCGACAAACCTGATCGCATTGCATTTCACTCTGCTGTTGAGTTGATTTTTGTCGTTTACTAACTCCCTGCTCTACAGAGCTTTCACATTCCACATAGCTCAGATTCATTCCTTCCTAAACTGTGTGGTGGTCTACATCCTCACTGACTTATCAACATGCTGTCATCATGCACTTCCTGTCTCTATTCCTCTTCATTACAATCTGGTTCCAAGTGGCTCACACCAGTATTCTGAGCTATTACCTGCCCACACAGTCCTAGAAAGTAAGTGATTCAGGAAACATTCCTCAAAAGCAAAGTTCCTCAGGTTAGATCAGAAGACCCCCATGAGTCACTGTTGTTCAGAATCACATCTGGCTCCTTGAAGAGTGATTCATCAGACTTTGCATAGATCTTGTCGTAAAAATGAAAGAGACCTTGGGGGAAGGTCTTGGGCTGGTCGCTTCTGTTGGAGTCCTGGGCTGTGGGGTGGAAGTCACTACTGTAGAGCTTCATGCTGAGTCACTTAGCTTTGCTCTCCCGTAGACAGGCTGTGCCTGTGCCTCCCCAAAGCATCAGAAAAAGTGGCATAGATGGGCCCTTTTGAAAAATCCCACTCCTGGAGCACTGGTCAAAGTTACTACCGTCCTGATGCTGGGCTTACAGTCCTTTCCTTTGGGAATATGAACATGGTCAAAATTAAGTGAACGTGTCAGAAAGACACGTTTTCTGTCTGTTTTCTGTACAATGGAGCAGAACAAAGTATCAATTTGACTAAAATTTGAACTAAATCCTCTTTCTAGGTTTGGAATGCACTTCTGTGGAGGCACCTTGATATCCCCAGAGTGGGTGCTGACTGCTGCCCACTGCTTGGAGAAGTATGTTTAGGGGACAATTGACATGAGGTTTTGTCTTAAATACTTTTTCCTTCCCTCTTTTCCCTCCTTTCCTTTCTCTCTCTTCCTCCCTTCCTTTTCTGGCTGTGACACTAGGGACCAGGCCAGGGCAATCGGATAAGGGAGAGAGGAAGGGTTTCTAGAGAGAAACTGCAGAGGAAAGACACAGTACAGATGATTTTGTGGGCGTGAATAAACTGCAGAATAGAACTGTTCACTACCATAGGCATCAGTCTCCACCCAAACAGCCTGAGAACATTCCTTAACTGCCTGTTTCGAGCAAATAATGAATTTTGCTTCTTGCCACTCAGAAGTCACTAATTCTAAGTAGCCAAGGGTGTCAGGGAGACAGCATCAAGTTCACGGCACAGAGGTTACCTGAAGGGGCCGGACCGTATTTTGCTCTTGACATCCTCATCTTTTCTAGGTCCCCAAGGCCTTCATTCTACAAGGTCATCCTGGGTGCACACCAAGAAAAGCATCTCGAACCACATGTTCAGGAAATAGAAGTATCTAAGATGTTCTCGGAGCCCGCAGGAGCAGATATTGCCTTGCTAAAGCTAAGCAGGTACTCGCTCACCTGTGGTCTTCACCCTATGCTGGTGAAGATAGTTGCTTTATGTCTGGGTTTTATGGGTCATGGTCACTGCATGGCAGTGGGGAGGGGCTGTCTATCACATGAAAGGCTCAAGGGCTTTGGGGACAGCATCAGTCTTCAACCCCGGCCCTGCCACATGCTAGCTGTGCTCTTGAGAAAGGCAGCAGGACTCAGTTTTCTCATGTGGAAAAAGTTGAAATATGAGGTACTCTGTTACCCCTAAAACTCACTTAATGTTCACCAGTTCATCCACATTCATGATGAGAGAACGATGCAGTTATTCCAGGATGACAATTCTCCTTTCATCATAATATGTTTAAGAGAATCAAATAAGACTGTACTTATTTCAAAGCACTTGAAAAACCACAACATCGAGCTGGGTGTCTGGTGTGGGTGCCTGTAATCCCAGTTACTTGGGAGGCTGAGGCAAGAGGATCACTTGAGTCCCAGAGTTTGAGGCTACAGTGAGTTACGATCATGTCACTGCATTCCAGCCTGGGAGACAGAGTAAGACCCTGTACCAAAACAAAAACAAAAACAAAAACAAAACAAAACAAAAAAAAACTTCACAATGTCAAAAAAATCACAAATACAATTTATAAGTGCAAATTACATTATTATTGTCTTCTTTGATTTGATTTTCTCTTTCCTGTTGAAATGTTGTTTCATTAAGCCTGACAAAGTGATACGTTTGCTTATGTCACTTATTAAGTTAGTGCTGTTTGGAGCCAGATACTAGCTGAGTCAGCTAAGAAACAGCTATTTGTAGGAGAAGCAGATTTGGGACAGGTGACAAGGCACGCAGGGTGCTCGCTGTGCTAGCAACTCTGGAAGACAGGGTGTCGGCATGGACAGGGATGAGCATGGCCTGGATGGGAAGGCACGGGGCAGGAGCCTGAGCTGCTCTCCTGGACCTGGCCACAATCCCGGGGCAACTTCTCTGGGTCTGTGAACTGAGGGGTGATGTCCTGGGATGCTCTGACACTCCAGAAGGAGAGAAGAGCCTTTCCAGCTCAGCCTTTATAAACAGTAGCTGATTTCCTTTGTGCTCTCCAGTGTCCTCCCCACCCAGCAAATGTGCAAGTAGAAGGTTCCTCATGGTCCTCAGAGAGCTGTGGTGTTCTGATGGTTTGAACAAGTAATTTGGAAATTTTGGGTTTTGGAGTTCTCTGATAGGCTGATACATTTCAAGTCTAGAGTTCCCACCCCACATCCCCACTCTCCAAGAGCCTAGGGCATTTAGTGTTCCACCAGGGAACCCGTAGAGTGAGGACGTCTGCACGACAGGCTGGGCCTTCTGATGATGCTCAAAAGCAGAAAATGTGCCTGCTTCAAAGTTGGTGACAATGATGATTCTTGATCAGAATAGGGCATTTCTCATTTCCAATCCTTTATCCCCTTGAACTTACTAAAGTAGAATCAGGTCTAAAAACCAGAGCTCCAATGTTTGAAAGTCCCTGGGACTCTAAAGTATATTAATGTTCTTTGAACACAATACCATTTTGTTCAAGCAAGAGGCTTATTTCCAATCTTCTTTCATTTGGTATCAAGTATTTTACTGTATTCTTACAACTATGGTGTAGCAACTTTCACTGAGGAGGAAGTGGAGGATCCAAGGATGGAGCAAGTTGCTCTGGGCACACAATGCATTTGCAATTTTACAGCCTCTTGGTGGCATCTCAGACACTCCATGGATGGATCAATGCCCTACTTGGTTAATATGAAAGGACGCACTCGGCATGAGATTCCAGTTGTGCACAGAATATGCATGAGAAGTGCACCTTTGTCACCCCTACTTTCAAAGGTGAAGGCCACCAGCAGTATCTTGCATGCAACTGATGCCTTTCAAATGAAACCTTATGTCTGTGTAGTCCTTAGGCAAACATAGGCAAATGTGAGGGTGAAACTCTGTGTTCTACGTTGTTCTGTGTCAGTGAAGCAAGGCAGTGCCAGCTCAGAGGGCTCCGGGGCCTCAAGGCAGGGATGGCTGGTTGTGGGTGTTGCAGCTGCCAGCAGAGCAGTCAAACATAACTGCTGATGCTTTTCTTTCAGTCCTGCCATCATCACTGACAAAGTAATTCCAGCTTGTCTGCCATCCCCAAATTATGTGGTCGCTGACCGGACCGAATGTTTCATCACTGGCTGGGGAGAAACCCAAGGTGAGATAAATTCCATTGCCCACATAATGAACAGGTTTTGACCTACAGTCCATGTGACAAAATGAGCATTTAGGAGCAAGCTGTGCAAATTCCTATCCACGAATGTGGTCCACTCACTCCTGATTTTGCCTGGGTACCTATGTCTTAATCAGTCTTCAAGGTACATAGTCAAGGGGAGGAAAATGGTGTCTTTGAGTCTCTCTCTCTTTTTGTTTTCAGAACGTTTTTATTTTAATTAATTAATTTTTAACTTTTATTTTAGGTTCAGGGGTACATGTGCAAGTTTCTGGTATATGTAAACAGTGATTTGTCGTACAGATTATTTTGTCACCTAGGTACTAACCCAACACTTAGTATTTCCTGCTCCTCTCCCTCCTCCCACTCTTCTCCCTCAAGTAGACCCCAGTATTTGTTACTCTCTTCTTGGTGTCCATGAGTTCTCATCATTTAGCTCCCACTTGAAAGTGTGAACATGTGGTATTTGGCTTTCTGTTCCTGTGTTAATTTTCTAAGAATAATGGCCTGAGCTCCATTCATGTTCCTGTAAAAGACATTACCTCATTCTTTTTTATGGCTATACAGTATTCCGTGGTGTACATGTACCACATTTTCTTTATCCAATGTGTCACTGATGGGCATATAGGTGATTCCATGTCTTTGCTACTGTGAATAGTGCTGCAATGAACATTTATGTGCATGTGTCTTTAGGGTAGAATGATTTATATTCCTCTGGGTATATCACCAGTAATAGGATTGCTGGGTTGAATGTTAGTTCTGTTTTTAGCTCTTTGAGAATCACCATACTGCTTTCTACAGTTGTTGAACTAATTTACAGTCCCACCAACTATAAGTGTTCTCTTTTCTCTGCAACCTTGCTAGCATCTGTTATTTTCTGACTTTTTAGAAATAGCCATTCTGGCTGGTGTGAGATGATTTTTCATTGTGGTTTTGATTTGCATTTCTCTAACCATCAGTGACACTGAGCTTTTTTCACATGCTTGTTGGCCGCAGGCATGTCTTCTTTAGAAAAGTGTTTGTTAGTGTCCCTTGTCCACTTTTTAATGGTTTTTATTTCTTGTAAATTTGTTTTAAGTTCCTCATAGATACTGGATATTAGACCTTTTTCAGGTGTATAGTTTGCAAATATTTTCTCCCATTCTCTAGGTTTTCCATTTACTCCCTCGATAGTTTCTTTTCCTGTCCAGAAGCTCTTAAGTTTAATTAGATCCCATTTGTCAATTTTTGCCTTTGCTGAGATTGCTTTCGGCGTCTTCATGAAATCTTTGCCCGTTCCTATGTCCAGGATGGTGTTGCCTAGGTTGTCTTCCAGGATTTTTATACTTTTGGATTTTACATTTAAGTCTTTAACCCATCTTTAGTTGATTTTTGTATATGGTGTAAGGAAAGGGGTCTAGTTTCCATCTTCTACCTACGGCTAGCCAGTTACCCCAACACCATTTATTGAATAGGGAGTTATTTTCCCATTGCTTGTTTTGTCAGCTTTGTCAAAAATCAGATGTCTGTAGGTGTGTGGCCTTATTTCTGGGCTCTCTATTCTGTTCTATTGGTCTATGAGTCTTTTTTGTTTGTTTGTTTTTGTTGTTGTTTTTACCAGTACCATGCTGTTTTTGTTACTGTAGCCCTGAAGCGTAGTTTGAAGAGAGGTAATGTGATGTCTCCAGCTTTGTTCTTTTTGTTTAGGATTGCCTTGGCTATTCTGGCTCCTTTTTGGTTCTATATAAATTTTCAAAATAGTTTTTCTTTTAATAGTGCTGTGAGGAATGTCACTGGCAGTGTGATAGGAATAGCAATGAATCTGTAAATTACTTTGGGCAGTATGGCCATTTTAATGATATTGATTCTTCCAATCCATGAGCATGGGATGTTTTTCCATTCATTTGTGTCATCTCTGATTTCTTTGAGCAGTGTTTTATAATTCTCATTGTAGATATCTTTACCTCTCTGGTTAGCCGTATTCTTACGTATTTTATTCTTTTTGTGACATTTGTGAATGGGACTGTGTTCCTGATTTGCCTCTGGGCTTGGCTTCTGTTGGTGTATAGGGATGCTAGTGATTTTTGTACATTGATTTCATATCCTGAAACTTTGCTGAAGTTGATTATCAGCTGAAGGAGCTTTTGGGCTGAGGCTATGGGGTTTTCTAGATATAGAATCATGTCATCTGCAAACAGGGATAGTTTGATTTCCTCTTTTCCTATTTGGATGCCTTTTATTTCTTTCTCTTGCCCTCAACATTTGCTTATCTGAAAAGGATCTTATTTCTCTGTTGCTTAGGAAGCTTAGTTTGGCTGGATATGAAATTCTTGGTTGGATATTTTTTAAGAATATTGAATATAGGCCCTAATCTTTTCTAGCTTGTAGGGGTTCAGCTGAGAAGCATGCTGTTAGCTTGATAGGGTTCCCTTTGTAGATGACCTGTCCTTTCTCTCTAGCTGCCTTTAACATTCTGTCTTTCATTTTGACCTTGGAAAATCTGATGATTGTGTGTCTTGAGGATGATCTTCTTGTGTAGAATCTTGCAGGTGTTCTCTGTATTTTCTAAATTGACTATTGGCCTCTCTAGCAAGGTTGAAGAAGTTTTCATGGACAATATCCTGAAATGTTTTCTAAATTGTTTACTTTCTCCCTGTCCCTTTCGGAAATGCCAGTGATTTATAGATTTGACCTTTTTACATAATCCCATGTTTTTTAGAGGCTTTGTTCATTCCTTTTCATTCATTTTTCTTAAGTTTTGTCAACTGTCTTATTTCAGAAAGCCAGTCTTCCATTTCTGAGATTCTTTCCTCAGCTTGGTCTATTTTGCTATTAATACTTGGATTGCTTTGTGAAATTCTTATAATTTGTTTCTTAGCTCTCAGCTCTGTCAGATCCATTAGGTTCTTTTTTACACCAGTGATTTTGTCTTTCAGCTTCTATATCATTTTATTGTGATCTTTAATTTCCTTAGATTGGATTTTGTCATCCTTCTGGATCTTGATGATCTTCACTCCTATCCAAAATCTGAATTCCCGTTCTTTCATTTCAGCCAGCTCACCCTTGTTAAGAACCCCTGATAGAGAACTGGCGTGGTTGTTTGGAGGATATATGGCACTCCGGCCTTTATGTTCCTTTAACTGCAGTGTAGGTTGAATACAGCCAATAGACTTGTTCTTTGGATGTTTTTACAGGACCAAAGCCTTGTGCAGGGTCTTTATTTGTAGTTAATTTCTTGTCTTTGGTTTCATAGTGGGGTATGTTAGCAAGCTATTTTTGGTGTTGAAGCTTTGGGGTGTGATCCATTTTTTATTTGTATATTTCCCTTACACCTAAAGCAAGCAAAAAACCAGTAAAGGTCTCTGAGTCTCTTAACCCATAATTTCAGCATTCATATTGCTTCCCTAGGTAAGTGGGGTTTTCACTCAGCCGTCAAGTTAAGAGTGTTAGGTTATTTTTCATGTGAAATTAGCCAGACTGGGTTTCTAAACATGGTGCAAAACATTAACAACAAAAGTTACAATTAAACTACTCTTCTTCCAAAATACCCATATGTCTAATATGTATGGGATGGTGTTAAACAGGGGGCTTACAGCTCGGGGAGAGGTAGACAGGTCCCACGGCCCCAAGTCTAGGATGACATTTGGTATTGGTTGATGGGTGTGGGTGAGAACAAGAGAGGGAACATTTGTGCAGGATGTGGTATCAGCACCTGTAATACATTTTAGGGAGTCCTTCTTCTCTTTGCAGTATGCCCTGACAATAATTATATCCATCAGCCTAGCCCCCTTGGCCGTTGAAACACTAAGACTGTCTTAGGATCCCTGCTTCAGTTTCTCAGAGGTGCTGGTGAGGGCATTAGGAGTCTGAAGACCTGGAAATGCGTTCTGACTCTGCCACTAGCCAGACAGACCTGAACTAGGCATGTTACCTCTTTGTACCACTCGGCTCTAACCCCTCATTCAAAAACCCAGAATTTTCAACTGGTGTTTTTCACATCACCCTTTGCATGAGTTTTCATTTGAAGAAAGGTTTGTTTTTGTTTTTGTTTTGGTTTAACCAAACGTTTAAAAATGAATGGTCTAGATGATTTCAAAGTTGGCTTTCCTTTTTCTGTGCTTTTCCTACTATTTAAAAACTTCACCTCCTTGATTTCTTGATCTCTCTTTCTGCACTGCTGGGTCTGGGAGCATTGAGGTCAAGTAAAAGGAACCTTGGCAAATGAGGAACACCTATGGGTGTGCCAGGCTGCTCCCAGTGTTTTGCATTTTTAAAAATTTAAATGCTGCAAACCTCTATGAATTAGATATTATTGTTCCTAGTTTACAAATGAGGAACCTGAAGCTCAGAGAAGATGTGGGATGGTACAGACAAACCTGAATTGGAAACCTGGCTCCCACTTACTGGCTGTCGGGACTTAGAAAACTCATAAAGCATGGTGTCTTAAGCCTGTAATCCCAGCACTTTGGGAGGCCAAGGCGGAAAGATCATGAGGTCAGGAGCTCGAGACCAGCCTGACCAACATGGTGAA